TGGTTGATGATGCACGGAGGGGGTTGTAACCCTGGCAATGAAACGATATATGATAGGATGAATGTAAAACTAATGTTCTCCCATATAAACTATCACATAATTCATAGTAAAACATTAAAAAAAAAGTAAGTGCCTATATAGTTTAGATAAGTGACGTCATGGGTTGCTCTTACTTGAGTTTGATCTAAATATAATGAGACAAAATTGAGTGCTCATTCTATTATGTACTAAATACAATGTAATAGGTTAAAATATTTGGGGGGGATTTGTATAACCAAGGAGTGATAAAGTCTCACTCAGGATTGAAATATTAAAAATTATTATTTCAACTACTGATGCTTGGATCCCTTCTATATGTCCCAACCATGTAGTTCAAGGGTGGGAAACCTTTTTTCTGACAAGGACCATTTGGATATTTATAACATCATTTGCGGGCCACACGAAATTATCAACTTAAAAATTAGCCTGCTGTATTTGGTCAAACATTTAATTAACTCACTAATGTGATGGCTGGAACTGTGGTTGCCTTGCAGGGCCAGACCAAGTGCTCTCTGGCCAGATGTTCCCCATCCTTGTTTAGGGAACTGTAAGCCTTAAGGATTGAGCATACCTATTGTGTCTTTTCGCTTTTTAAAAACAGCTTAAAGCATACTGAAAACCTTTTTCTCTTTGCTATTTCTTGTACCTTCTAAGATTTTAGAAAAAAAAAATGTGTCTTTTAAAATGAAAGGCTCAATATCATAGATGTATTCTGACTGGCATATAGTAGAGCAATTTTCACATTCTCTTTTATCCTAATGCACTCTAAGGTCACATTAATTTTCTTGGCACAGATGTTTAACTGACACTGTGTTTTGTTGTGAAGTGCCATTGAGTCACTTCTGACTTATAATGACCCTCTATAGCATTTCCGAGGAGTACCTGGTGAGTTTCAACAATGGACCTTATAGTTAGTAGCCCAGTGCTTATCCTGCAGTGCCACAACAGGACTCCAACACTGTGTTTACTACTGATAAGTAATACATACTAAGTCCTTTTTTGCTTTTGATGACACATGAAGCTCACATCTTCAACTAGTATAATTCATAATTTGTATACTTAATTTTTTTTTTTTCCTTAACCAAAATGCAGGGTCTTATTAGATTTATGTAGATAAGTGGACTTTACAATATGCTGGAAAAGCTAGAAGCAAAAAATACTTAGGGCTTCCAGAGAACAGACTGTTTACTAGTCAGAGATTAGAATGTGCCTTTGTGATAGTTAAGAATCAGGAAATCCTTCTCAAGCAACATTTTTGCACATAGATTGTTAGTGAGTGATATTTCAGAATGGTAATATGAGTCTTGAATTTAAAGAACGGTTGTTGAGTGCCATTGAGTTGTTTCTGACTCACATTGACCCTATATAGGCTGGTGGGTTTGAACTGCCAACCTTGGGGCTAGCAGTCCAGTGTTTATCCTATAACGTCATGCCAGGATTCCAGAAATTTAGCTTTCTGTCTCATCTGAGATACCAGTTTATGTGGTATCTGCATCTGTTTGGGCTCTTCATGGCAAAACAAATTTTACATTTAGTAAAATTGTGTATTTTTTCACTAGTAATATGGGAAGTTACTATGTAGTTTAGAGTGAGAGAGAAAGAACTTGAACATGCCAATTTGTAGTCCATCAGAAAAGCTTGCAGCTTTTAAATTGATTTACTGTGGGATGGAGCAGGGAACCCTTCAATTACAAAATTAACAGTGGGAATCATATTTCAAGGTCTATGAATATATGTTCGAAATGTTGGTTTATAAGAGAGTGGGTGAAATTGTCGATGCAAAATAATTTAATGTTTGAAAGGTGGTATTTTAATTGATGCCTTGTTTTCAAGTTTCATGTTCATTATTTAAATATTGCTCTTCCAAGAGTTCTTTTTATGCTAAGGTTTATGTTGTTTATTTGTTTAATTTTTCAATAGGATCACCCAGGCTAAAATGTCAAGAACTCTTGAATTATATCATGGATACAGTGAAAGATTCATCTAATGGCACCATATATGGAGCTGATTGTAGCAACATACTGCTCAAAGACATTCTTTCAGTGAGAAAATACTGGTGTGAAATATCTCAGCAGCAGTGGCTAGGTATGTTTTGAAGTCTTTTGTCGGTGAATTTTCCCTTATGAAATGAAATTTCTTCAGTAAAGCAAATCAGCATATCTGTAGACCCCAGAGAATCTCTAGATGATGAAAAAAATAATAAAAAGGGGGTTTCAGAGAACATGGCAGATGATGGATTCATAGCAAAAAGACTGGAGGTCTGACTTTGTTTCAGTAAGAACAATGGTTATAAGTAATAACTTGAAATTCTAAAATAACCTAAATATGACTCAGACCATTTTGGTGAGAAAAATGGCTGTGTATCCTAGCTATCACTGGTCTAATCTCTGTAGGTCTTGTTTGGGACACACCGGTTTATCTTCAGAGAAACAGGAAAGGCCCCAAATTGACTCCTGCAAAATTAATGAAACAGCTGTTAGGTACCGTGTGTCAGTTCCAACCCATAGTGATTCTGTGGAAAACAGAATGAAATACACAATCCTGCATCATCCACACAATTGTTACTGTGTTTGAGCCCATTGTTACGGCCTCTTGTCAATCCATCTCATTGTGAGTCTTCCTCTTTTTCACTGACCCTCCACTGTTCCAAGTTTGATATCCTTCTTCAGGTACTAATCACTCATGGTAACATGCATGAAACATGTGAGACAAAGTCCCGCCATCATTGTATCTACGGAGCATTCTGGCTGTACTTCTTACATCACAAATTTGTTCATTCTTCTGACAGTACATGATATTCTTCAATACCATAATCCAAAGGCATCAATTCTCATTGGATCTTCATACTTATGGGTGATAGAAGTCTCAAAGGAAAACAGAGCATACGTAGAATTTACATTTCTAAATATTGAAAGGAAATGAAAATTACACATATAAACTTTAGGCTGCCGCTAAAGTTATGCTGAGATAGTAAATTATTGCATTAAATACCTATATTAGAAAAGAGGAAAGGTCTCAAATCAATAATCTAATCTCCCACTCAGTGTTGTTGTATTGTTAAATGCTAGGGAGTTGGCTCTGACTCATAGGGTTTCCGAGGCTGTAAAACTTTGTGGGAGCAGAAAACCTCATCCTTCTCCTGCGGAGCTGCTGATGAGCTCAAACTGCCAATTTTTTTGGTCCACAGTCCAATGCTTATCCTATAGAGCCACCGGGCTCCCCACCCAATTGTTGTTGTTAGGTGCTGTTGAGTTGGTTCTGACTCATAGGGACCTTGTTTAGATTAGAGTTTTTAAGGCTTTAAATCTTTGTGGGAGCAGAAATCCTCCTTTTTCTTCTGTGGAGCAGCTGGAGGGCTCAAACCATAGACCTTGTGATTTGTAATCCAGTACTTATTGTGTTTAGCCACTATGTTCCTGACCCACTGAAGAGAAGAGGAAAAGCAAAATCCAAAGCCTCAAGCAAGCAGAAGAAAGGAAATGTAAGAAAGAAAAGAGAAAAGAATAATGAATTTCAAAACAGCAATCAAAAAGAAAAATCAGTGAAACCAAAAGCTGATTCTTTGAATATAAAATTGATAACCTCTGGTAGCGTAGTGGTTACGAATTGGGCTGCGAACTTCAAGGTCAGCAGTTCAAAACTACCAGCTGCTCCGCAGGAGAAAGATGAGGCTTTCTGCTCCTGTAAAGATTTATAGCCTCGGAAACCCTGTACAGGGTCACTGTAAGTTGGGACTGATGCCATGGTATGTAACAACAACAACAAAGCAAGAGTAAGGATAAACAAAAGATCGAATACATCAATTACTCAATATCAGATATGAAATGAGGTATAACTGCAGATCCTATAGCTATTAAAAGGCTAATAAGGAAATACTATGGCATAAAATGTACGGTCTCGAAAAACATAAGCAGCAGTCCTATTCTGTCCTATAAGAGTGCTGTGAGAAATCTACTCAGTGGCAGTGGATGGGAGGGGGGTATGTAAGATTCTGTGAGAGTTTGGATCAGCTCCTCCAGGATAAATCCTGGAGTCCATACTTTGTTGCATTTTTGGTTTTTCCTGTTTCACTGTTCTTCCCCTGCAAAGAAGAGGGAAATGATTACAAATGATTATCATTTGTAATGTTTCTAAATTTGAATGTATTCAGTCACACAGGTCACTAGCATTATCTAGGCATTCTGTGTATTGAAAAAACCTTGGGGAGCATTGGTCCTGGGATTAGTTTATAAACTAACACTATGTTAATCATTTTTAAATGGTTTTAAACAAAACACCAAATACTTTGCCATTGTATCAACTGTGATTTCTAGGGACTCTCTATATAAATATAAATCTATAAAAGATTTACAGCCCTAGAAACCCTGTATAGGGTCGCTATGAGTCGGAACCGACTCCACAGCACATTACAACAACAACAATATGTATATAAATCTTACTAGAGAAGAAAGCCTCATTTTTCTCCCAGTGAGAGAGTTGTTTTACTTAGTATCTGACGTTTGAAGAATTTTTTGCCCTTACTATGAGCTGGAACCTACTCTATTGTACTTAACAACAAGAAGTTAAAATACGTATAAAATATAGGAGTGTTTACTATGTATCACATACTTTGTTAGGCAGTAGTACAAACCTGTGGAACCTAAATGAAGGTTTATAAGCCTAGAGAAGAGAAGTTAGGCAGTTTATCTGATGTCTAGTTCTTAAACTGGTGCTCTTATACTCTGTTGCCTTTATTCCTGTATTGTGGAAATTTATATAAAATGCTGAGGTGTAGTAGTTTTTGCTGTGCTAATTAAATTGTGGAAGGTTTTTGTTGTTGTTTTTAATCTCTTGTCTGTATGGGATTATGAAATATTTAAGTTGAATTGTGTCTATAATTTTTTTATTTTTAACCTAACTGCTAATACTTTTTTTAAACCTTTAGAATTGTTAACTGTGTACTTCAGACTGTATCTCAAACCTTCTCAAGACATTAATAGAGTTTTAGTGGCCAGAATAATCTATGCTGTGACCAAAGGATGTTGTTCACAAACTGATGGATTGAATTCCAAATTTTTGGATTTTTTCCCCAAAGCCATTCAGTGTGCAAGGTAATTTAATCTTTCTGTTTTGCTTGGTGTTGAAAAATCCATTGGTCTTCTTACAAGGCTATGTTTCAAATTTAGTGTTTTTAAAATGCTGCTTTTTAAATCAGCGACTTATTACAATTTCCAAAGTACTTGTCAGTCCGGTACACACTTCCTGAATAGCTAACATGTAGGGCATTAAATAATGCTTTTAAGTGGGATCTCTGTCTTGCTTTTCTAATGACGTCAACAGTTAATATCCTAAGTATTTGCATTTTCTCATCTTGAGGATAGGCTTACCGCACTAAGAATAAGTAAAATTGGAATCTATTTTGAAAAATTTATTATCTTAGAATTATGTGGCACTACTCTTTAAAATTATTCAGTTGTAGGTATTGCATAGCAATTTTGTATATTTTTAAGACTTTTAGTAACAGGAAGCGCTAACAAGAGTGATCTCCTAGCACCAAGTAAGAACTAATTTTTTGTGACTGTAGTGCTGCTGTGATTTTTTTTTTTTTCTCAATAGTTCTGAAACTAAGATGTTTGGAACTTGCAATTTTGATGATATTTTCCTTTCAACTTGAAATTTCTAAACTTTTCTATTTGCCGTTTTGGTTCTCCTGTTGCACTAAGTTGAGTTTGTTTGTTTTCTGCCACAGGCAAGAAAAGAGCACTGCAGGTCTCAGTCATATCTTAGCAGCACTTACTATCTTCCTCAAGATTTTGGCTGTCAACTTTCGAATTCGAGTATGTGAATTAGGAGATGAAATTCTTCCTACCTTGCTTTATATTTGGACTCAACATAGACTTAATGATACCTTAAAAGAAGTTATTATTGAGTTACTTCAACTGCAAATTTATATCCATCATCCAAAGGGAGCAAAGACCCAAGAAAAAGGTATGTGAGAAGTTTCTACTGTTTTGAATTTGCTTCTTCATTAAAACATAGAGGCTTAAGTATGAAATCAGTATTCTGTAAGAGGATCTGCCCTTCTTGTAGATTGATCTGCTTGATAATGTTGTTAGTTAGAAGGGAGGTTTTTCATATATATTTGAAATTTAAAGCTGTGGTAGTAAATTATATCATGTATTGCACTTTGTTCAGTATAGTATTAGGTATTTAGAGGAATGCAAACAAGTTAAGTAACAATGATTAGGTACTAAAAGGTATACAGACTATAAGGACAAAATAGAGAAAATAGGATCTTGTTTATATTAGTCGATAAAATGGATAAATGTGGACTGAAAACAGGCAGTCAGATGTGGCACTGTAGGATAAGCACTGGATTGCAAAGTCATTTGAATAGCAAGGTGGGCAGTTCAAACTCACCAGCCACTCCTTGGAACCCTATACAGGGTCTCTTTGAATTAGAACTGACTCGACACATCATAACAACAATAACAACAAGAAGGAAAATACATACAGATTATTTTCATATGAATGTTAAATGGAAAGGAGATATTGTTACCTTAAGCCTCATAGATACTCCAGACTTTGGTGTCCTTGAAAAATAATCAAGAAACGAATGACTTCTCCTTTACCAGGAACGTTGCTTGGGTAGTGCAACACTATTCAGAAGGTGGAAACTTTACTGGGTAGAATTGGAACTGGATGAATAGTCTTCTGTTCAGTCTATAGTTGCCTTTCGGCGCTCCATAGCTTTTGGATCAATTCCTCATGACTAGTTTAATAAGTTTGCTAAAATTGCATGCCACGTTGAGTAATAGCTAAAACAGATAAAAAAGAAAACAATGATTGGAGCCACTTTTATGAAAAGTAGTTTGTGTATTTTATGATCTCCTAGTAAGTGCAGTTAGACATGTTTGTAGTTCTCACCAGTATGAAGATTAGGAGGTACTTAGATTAGGAGATGATATGAAATGCTTAAGAGTTTTCATTAACTGCAGATATAAATAAATTGAAAGTTGACAAGATGATGAGATTGCCAGAAAAGCTAATACAGGCCACATTCGTTGATGTGTGGTACTGGTGGTGTGCTGTTGTAGGATAATTCACTGGATCAAAAGGTTGGTTTGAATTGTAAGGTGGGTGGTTCACACTACCAGCCACTCCTTGGAAACCCTATACAGGGTCCTACCAGTCAGAACGGACTCAACAGCACTTAACAACAACTGTTGTTAACAACAACTGTTTACTGGTCAGACCCCAGATTGAGTATTATGTTAACTACATTTTGCAGATTAGATATTTTAATCAAGAGAGACATAGTTGACTGGAGGAAAGATTTTACATCAAAATGTAGAGCGTCACAACAATTACAATTATGGTCAACATTATGAAGTAAAGATTGTGAGAAATATTGTAGACGCATTAGTACTGAACAGATGTTTCTAATGTTTCCACCTTAAGAACTGAATAATTTTCGTGGTAATTGTCAGTGGAGTCTATGTATAAATGTCACTGTAATTTTTTGGGTTATAGGTGCCTATGAATCAAAAAAATGGCAGAGTACCTTATATAATTTATATGATCTGCTAGTAAATGAGATCAGTCATATAGGAAGTAGAGGAAAGTTTTCTTCAGGATCTCGTCATATTGCTGTGAAGGAAAACTTGATTGAGTTGATGGCAGATATTTGTCACCAGGTAAGGTTGAGTCTTTGTTTTGAATTTTGTATCTCTCAGTGTATCTGTTGCCAAATTGTGAAACTTTGGGGTGTTTTTCCTCTTACCGAGCTTTTTAATGTGTTCTGATTAAAAATCTGTTCAGTTACACTCTATACATGTAACTTTTCCTTTCGAAATACCATAAGTAGCTGGAGTTACGGTTTTAACTTAAGAAAATATAACTCTTTAGCAGATGTGGATTTTATGAAAACTAATGATGAACTTTTTAATTCACATAACATGGCCCATAGGAAGTATTAAGACCCTAAGACCCTAACCCTACTGTGTGTGTGTTTTGTTTTTAAGATTCAATCATGTATCATAAAATACACCGTTTTAAACTACAATTCAGTAGCTTTTAGTATTTTTGCTATGTTATACAACATAGTGAAAATTCATACTGTCTATATCCAGAACACTTAACTTACATCACTCTGCAAAGAAACCTCAGACCTATTCCCCTTCCCCTATCCTCTAGTCATCTACTCTTTGTCTCCATATGGTGCCTATTTTGGACATTTCATATAATGGAATTCTACAGTATGTGGTTTTTTGTGTCTTCTTCTTTCACTTAGCATAATGCTTTCAAGTTCGTGTTGTGCCAGGTATCAGTATTTTATTCCTTTTCATGGCCTAATAGTGTATTGTATGGATATGTTGCATTTTGTTACTCCATTCATCAGTTGGCGACCTAATGCTTTGTAAGTAAAAATTTTTCCTCAGATTTGGTTAACATCCTAAATAGTAATTGTACTCTGTTAAATATTTTCATAATGGTAAAGTTAAGATTTCACCCTTTGAACAAGTAGATTTTGCTTTACTATGGTGTTGCTTTTAGTAAATGTTTCCAGGAAGTAAACTGATATATTACTTGGCAATTTCTGCTTTTTAAAGAACCATGATGGAGCCCTGATGGCATAGTGGTTTATGGGTTGAGCTGCTAGACGTTCAAGTCCACCAGGCACTCCACAGGAGGGAGAAAGATGAAGCTTTCCATTCTTATAAAGATTTGCAGCTTAAGAAACCCATACAGGGTCACTATGAGTTGGAACTGACTTTACAGCACATAGCCAGCAAGCAAGCCAAAGAGCCACTGTATGACTTATTTCAATATGTTAGTTTCTCACTCTATTGTTTGATTTATACGGACATACCTTGTTTTATTGTTTTTCACTTTATGTGCTTTGTAGATAGTGCATTTTATACAAATTGAAAGTTTGTGGCAGTCCTGCACTGAGCAAGTTCTATCAGCACCATTTTTTCAAACAGCATATGTTAACTTCCTGCCTTTGTCACATTTTGGTAATTTTTACAATATTGTAAACTTTTTCGTAATGATATTACACACTTAATAGACTACAGCATAGTGTAAATATACATGTACTATAAATCCAAAAAGTATTTCTGATTCATTTTTATTATGATACTTACTTTATTGCAGTTATCTGGAACCAAATCTGCAATATCTCTGAGATATACCTGCATATATTGCTGTGGTTTACTATTTTTGCTTATGACTTTCCTGTGTCTTCATTTAAGGAAGAAGCTTTTTTTTTCTAGGTGAGATCTCAGAAAGAAATATTAATGAAAAAAATATTTTTCCCTTTTGTTACTTTACAGGTTTTTAATGAAAATACCAGATCTTTGGAGATTTCTCAGTCTTATACTACCACACAAAGAGACTCCAGTGATTTGAGTGTGCCTTGCAAGAAGAGGAGAATAGAATTAGGTTGGGAAGTAATTAAAGATCATCTTCAGAAATCACAGAATGATTTTGATCTTGTGCCTTGGTAATTTTATTTTTACCTATTCAATGTCATTTTTGTGTCATTTAGCTTTTTTCAGAAGACCTCCAATAGAATCCTTTTATCTCTTTGGCCAGAACTAGGTCATTTGTGTACTCCCAAACCAATTATTTACAAGGGAGAATGGAATGGCTGTGACAGATTGAAAGCAGCCATTGTGGCTCATCTGCTGGGACAGAGGACAGGGCTCACCTTTCTTAAGAGTATTGCCATAGCAAAGAAGAAGTGGGGAGGAATGGCTGTTGAAAGTTACTAAGTTCATGGAAGTTACTGAGTTGTACACCTCAATGCAAAGATGTTTTAACATGCAGAGCACCCTCCAATAGAACAGTATTAGAAAGAAAAGAAAGATAACCTTCAGAAATCACACAATAATTTTGACCTTGTACCATGATAAAAGATTATTATTATTTACTTCAGTTGCATACATAAAAAAAACATGTGCTTCCATGAAATCACAAAATAGTAAATTTGGTAGGGTCTTTCAGAATTTATCCAGTTTAGCATGTTTACAAAAAGAAAATTAAAACCCAGACAGTTTAAGTAATTTACCTAAAGGTTACTAGAAAATTGTGAAGTAATTAAGCTTTTGTGTTCTTTGCTCTTTTGATGTTTACTAGGTTGATGGGATGTTTCAATATAATTTAGTTGTGTATTAATGTAGTTACCTTTTAAGATCCTATTTATTGTATATAGTTGAGGGTGCCTCCTATATATAGTTGAGGGTATCTATTTGAGATTCTTTAACTTGTGCATTTCAGTTAGGAGTTATTTATTGAATAACTGCTGTGTATCAAGCATTGTGGATGCAGAGATGAATAAGATAAGGTTCTTATTCTGCATTGTGAGTTCCCTAAAATGTGAATAGCGAACATTTTAGAGAACTCACAACAAATATATATTAGATTAACTGAATTAATGTAAAGGAAAAGCAGTTGTTTTTTTTTATAGCTGTTGTTGTTGTTACTGTTGTTAAGTGCCAATGAGTGAGTTGTGATTCATAGCGATTGTGTATAGGGTTCCCAGGGGGCAGCTAGTGAATTTGAACCACTGACCTTATGGTTCAAACCTACCTTGCAGTCCAGTGTTTTATCCCACAGTGCCACAGTAGGACTTCTTATCTTTTAAAGGGATATTTAAAGGGTAGTTGGAAAAGAAGAGTGGGTCGGATAAATCAGAATGTTGTTAATTTAATAATTCTTTAACGTTTTTTGTGTAAATAAAATATAATAGCTTAATCAGGATAGCCAAAAAGTTATTACTTTTTCTGGCACTTTAGAAGTTGTTGTTATGAAGTGCCTTCAAGTCAGTTCTGACTCATAGCCACCCTGTATAGGAGTTCCAAGGAGCTTGAAATGCCGACCTTGAGATTCAAACTAATCTTGCAGTCTAATGCGTTAACCCTCAGCACCACAGCAGGAGGAGGGCTTGGTAAATATTAAGAGCTAGTCTGTTTTGGAGAAGCTCTGGTAGCGTAGTGGCTGCGAGTCAGGCTGTGATTCTCAAGATCAGCAGTTCGAAACCACCAGAGGGACTATGCCTCCTCAAAATGACCATGATGACGCAAATGGAGTAAAGCCTGCAGGAGTAAAGCCCTCAGGACCTTCATTTGCTGATGGGGTACAACTCAAAATGAAGAGAAACATCTCTCTGTTAATAATTGAAACATGGAATGTATGAAGTATGAATCTAGGAAAATTGGAAATTGTCAAAAATAAAATAGAAAGCATAAACATCACTATCTTAGGCATTAGTGAGCTAAAATGAACTGATGTTGGCCATTTTGAATCTAACAACCTCATGGTTTACTATACCAGGAATGACAGATTGAAGAGGAATCGTGTTGCATGCATCGTCAAAAAGAACATATCAAGCAAGATCTGTCATGAGGTACAACACTGTGATAGGATAATATCCATGTGCATACAGGGAAGACGAGTTAGTACCACTATTCAAATTTACGTACCAATCACTAAAGCCGGTGAGGATGGAATAGAAGAATACTATCAACTTCATTCTGAAATTGACCAAATATGCAATCAAGATATATTTATCATCACTGGCGATTGGAGTACAAAAATTGGAAACAGGAAGGCTCAGTAGTTGGAAAATATGGCCTTGGTGATAGACATGATACTGGAGATCGTGTGATAGAATTCTGCAAAATCAATGATTTGTTCATTTCAAATACCTTTTTTAGACAGGATAAGAGGCATTCACATGAAAGTCACCAGATGGAATACACAGAAGTCAAATTGACTACATCTGTGGAAAGAGACAATGGAAAAGCTCTATATCATCTGTCAAAACGGCCACGGAATTCGGAAATCTTGGGACAATATCATTGATATCCCATGTGAGTAAAGTTTTTCTAAAGGTAATACAGAAACAGCTGAAAGCGTACATCCACAGAGAATGTCCAGAGTTTCAAGCCAGATTGAGAAGAGGATGTGAAACAAGGGATATCATTACTGATGTTGTATGGATCTTGGCTGAAAGCAGAGTATACCAGAAAGATGTTTACCTGTGCTTTATTTACTGTGCAAAGTTCTTAAATTGTGTGAATCATGACAAGCTATGGACCACATTACAAAGTATCAGTATTCCAGACCACTTAATTGTGCTCATGAGGAACCTGTATATAGACCAAGAGGCAGTTGTTTGAACAGAACATGGGACCACCGAATGGTTTAAAATTAAGAAAGGTGTGCGACAGGGTTGTATTCTGTCACCATACTTATTCAACCTGTATGCTGAGCAAATAATCTGAGAAGCTGGATTATGTGAAGAAAAACGTGACATCAGGATTGGAGGAGGACTCATTAACAACCTGTCATATACAGATGATACAGCCTTGCTTGCTGAAAACGAAGAGGAGTTAAAATACTGATAAAGATCAAAGAGCACAGCCTTCGGTATGGCTTGCATCTCAATGTAAAGAAAACAAAAATCCTCACCACTGGACCAGTAACATTCTTGTCAATGGAGAAAAGATTGAAGTTGTTGAAGACTTCATTTTTCTTGGATCAGCTATCAACACTCATGGAAGCAGCAGCCAAGAAATCAAATGATGTATTGCATTAGGCAAATCTACTTCATAAGACCTTTAAAAATGTTGAAGAGCGAAGTTGTCAGCTTGAGGACTAAGGTGTGTCTGACCCAAGCCATCCTGTTTTTAATAACCTCTTGTGCATGTGAAAGTTGGACAGTGAATAAGAAGATCGTAGAATTGATGCATTTGAGTTATAGTGTTGGAGGAGAATATTGAAAGTGCCATGGGCTGCCAAAAAACCCAACAGATCTGTGTTGGAAGAAGTGCAGCCAGAGTGCTCCTTGGAGGCCAGGATGGCCAGACTTCGTCTCTTATACTTCAGACATATTGTCAGGAGGGACCAGTCACTGGATAGGGATATCATGTTTGGTAAAGTAGAGGGTCAGAGAAAAGAGGAAGACCCCAGTGAGATGGATCAGCACAGTGGCAGCATCAGTGGGCTCAAGCATGACGACAACAATTGTGAGGTTAGCCCAGGACTGGGCAGTGTTTCGTTCTACTGTGCATAGGGTTTCTATGAGTCAGTACCAACTCAATGGTACCTAACAACAACAAGAAGTGTATTTTGAGAGTACTATGGAAAGATGAGGCTTTTTGCTCCCGTTAAGATGTACAGCCTCGGAAACCCTGTACAGGGTTGCAAGGAGTCAGAACCAGCTCCATGGCACATAACAACAACAACATGGAGTCCTAGTGTGGTACTGGGGAATAATGCACTGGATCGCAAGGTCAATTTTAACTGCAAGTTTGGTGGTTCAAACCCACCAGCTGCTCTTTGGAAACCCTATACAGAGTCACTGTGAGTCAAAACCAACTTGACGGCACTTAACAACAACATGGAGTATGAAAGGAGCCCTGGTAGTATAGTGGATTACAAATTGGGCTAGTAACCACAAGGTCAGCCGTTCACATCTACCAGTTGCTCTGTGGGAGAGAGATCAGACTTTCTTCTGTAAAGTTTTACAACCTCAGAAACCCTATACAGGGTCGCCATGAGCCGCCACCACCACCACCATGGAGAATGACAATGGTGCTCAGATTAGATGTCCATATGCTAATTTTTTTTCACTTGTTAATAGGATTGAATAGTTTTCAAATCAATTATTCTTTTTTCTTTTAGGTTACAGATTACAGCTCAATTAATATCAAAGTATCCTACAAGTTTACCTAACTATGAGCTATCACCATTGCTCTTAATATTATCCCAGCTTCTACCTCAGCAGCGACGGGGGGAACGCACACCATATGTGTTACGATGCCTTATGGAAGTTGCACTGTGTCAAGGCAAGAATTCAGACTTAGAAAGCTCACAGAAGTCAGATCTGTTGAAACTCTGGATTAAAATTTGGTCTATTACTTTTCGTGGTATAAGTTCTGAGCAATTGCAAGCTGAAAACTTTGGCTTACTTGGAGCCATAATTCAAGGCAGTTTAGTTGAGGTTGATAGAGAATTCTGGAAGTTATTTACTGGATCAGCTTGCAAACCCTCATGGTAAGTTGAATATGCATAATGCCAGATTTTACACACTCACAACACACACAAATATGTCTATTCTGCACCTCCCCCCATCATTTTCATGGATTTGTTATTTCAGTTAAAGATATGGTGTTTCAGAAGCTTTTGCTTTTGGGCCAGGCATACTTAACAAATGACAAAACGTGAATTTATTTATTTTTTATTGTGAATTATGTGATAGTTTACATGGGAGAACACCAGCTTTACATTCATCCTATCATATTTCTTTTCATTGCAATGATTCCAGTCCTCTCCTTGCATCTCTCCCTCCCTGATTCCAGAGTTTCCAGCCACTCCATCTCTCCACATCATCTTCTTAGCCTCTATCTCTGGTGTCACTGCTTCTCTGGGTAGGATCCTGCACTCTGTTCTTCTCACTTGATGGTCCCAGGGACCTCCACTCCTGGATTGCAAAATCAACCACTCCCCTCCTTTTGCTATAAAACGTCTACCTTTACATGTCCGACCGTGCAGTCAGTCCTGATACCAATTATTCACTATTGTACTACAAGGGACCTAGCCCCATCTGCTTTCATCAGCCCCATCCCAACAGATTGGAAATGACTCAGTGGAGATTCTACCTTACCCCGCACCCTCTGGAACTAGGCTCCCTCTTTTTTATTTAATGTTTTTATGTGAATTATGTGATAGTTTACATGGGAGAACATTAGCTTTACCTTCATCCTAACGTACATCATTTCATTGCCATGGTTATAATCCCCTGCATGCATCATCATCCAACCAAAAGGTATATATACCCTGAAAGCCTGCCCTCCCATACCCCCAGTTGTCAGCACACAGCCCCTCTCTCTCTCTGGGTGTAGAGTCCCCAGTCACTCCCATCTCTCCA